CCCCCAAAACCCCAAAACCCCAAAACCCCTCCTTCAATAAATATATTGAAGAGACATGTGAGCTACATTAGCTTATAGATATACTTATTTCTCTTTTTCAGGACTGGCTTGCTGAACTTCATTCTGGGTGACTTGCTACCGACCTAAAGAGATAATAGTAAATCACTCAAGGCAAAATATGCATCAAGGCTAATTCAGAGATGTGTTAATAAATATATACGTTTGCTATCCAAAGGAAGCATTTGAAAAGAGTAAGCTCTCTTTTGCCAACCTCCATTGCTACGAATGAAGCCATATTTTTGGTAGGTTCTACTTACCCCAACAACATAATCTATTGTCTTGGATGGCTCATCATACCCTGGTTTTGGTGGATTCTGAGGAGGATGCCAAAATATTAGTTTTGGGCTATAAAGGTACGGGTTTACTTTAGGCGTAGCTTCTGAAGAGTTCTCTCCAGATAACACTGGGTTATCCTTCACAGAACTACTCTGAGCATAATCTCCACTTGGAGATTCTTGGATCACCGAAGCAGGTTCCTTACCCACAGAGTTACCTCTGTGGCTCTTCCTTGATAGAAGCGAGTTTTCATGGTAAGAAGTTGCCCTAACTTTTCCTCTAATTTTACAAATTTTAGCTTTATTTTGGCTCTTACGGCTACTTCTCTTTAGGTGGAACCCGTATTGCTGGTTGCCTTCTGCTCCTAAGATTGAGGAATAACAGGTTAGTTTGATCTTCCTACGATTCGAATCATTAGGTGTCTTGGCAGAACTCCTATTATTAAACAATTTTTCCGGATCTTGCATGGAAACCCTAAGTTTTGAGGTACCGTCTTGGCTGGCCTTCCTCTCTGGAGAGCCAATATAAGTCTCTAATTTCTGGTACTTAGTAAGATGAAAAGATTTGTTCAACGTTCTCTAAAGGTTCAGTGATCAAAGAAGTACGATTAAGGCGTTCTTGGCTCTTTCTGGTGACGACTTCATCCTCTTCTGTTTCTTCTTGTGGTCATCCATAGTGTTCTTGATCATATTCATGATAAGCTTCGAGTGAGGGAACCTACTGGGTCATACCTGTGCTTACCTCTCCTGAGGACCAAGGATGTTGATGATCTTAGTAGCTAGGTATTAATGACATTAAAGCTTACCTTTTGCTTTCTCAATCTTTCTTACCATACTTCTGGGCACACTTTTCAAAGAAGATGTTTCTAGAGAAATTTAATGAAATTCTGAAATATTTCAAGAGAATTATCGGTTTCTTACTTTTATGAATCAGGTTGAACTTGAAGGTCTCTTGATTTCCAAATTTGATCATGTTCTTGCGACCAAACTGATGGCTCTTGTCTTTTGGATTAATCGTCCTTCGTCGTTTGGAGATCCTCATAAATGGAAGATCCTTGAATTTCTCTTCCTATATTGCAAATTTAAAAATATGAAATTACTGCTGTTTTCTTCTTCCTCATTTGTTTTATATATACTTGTGTATATCTCCATCCATTTGGACAATAGCTCTAGCTATAGTAGTCCACCCATAATCATCGGTTTGCTCGAAGTGAAGTGGGGGCTCATCAAATATTTCAGGGTTTATCCTGCCATCTTCCTTAGTATCGTTCATAGTTTAAATAAAAGTTATTTATTTTCAATACACCATCACTTGATGGGGTTTTGGGGTTTTGGGGTTTTGGGGTTTTGGGG